AGCTTGGCTCTCTCCCTGTGCAAAAATCAGATGCTGCTTTATTTTCTCTTTGCCCTGCTACATATGTAGGGGACCATCCTGTCTCATACACAGAGTGCCAGTGATTTCTCAAAGAACATTTCACAGCAATGTGCTGTGGGGTTTGTTTCATAACTGCCTACAGGTCACGGCCGTAACACAAACACCTACATGGAGAAGGGTGGACATGTCACACACAGGTCCTCCAACCTGCCACACATCCCTTTCTCTCTCCAGCCAAAGTCAGATCTACGGCTTACAGCACGCAGTGATGTTTGTCAGTACTAAACACTATGCTGCTGAGCAGCACAGACCTCGGGTCCCTCCGGGCACATGGACAGCAATGGCTCGGGACCAGCAGACACAGGCTACTGAGGCAACCAGACAACAGCAGGAGCTTTGTACTGACTTACACACACAGCTCTATGGTCTTTCCCCCACTGCTCTCTATTTCTGTCTCTAGCACTCATAAATCTCTTCCCTTTGGTGATGAAGAGGCTAAAGAAAGGCACTTTCCTAAATGTGACACATTTTCTTTTGGCCAATTAAGGAATATATTTGCAATGTTAAGAGCAAATATTAAAAGTAAGAAAAGGAAAAAGTGAAGCCAATTTACTAACCACACACACTGACAAATCACCTTATCACAAGAGCCAGGATGACTCAGAAAACAAATCTAAATAGCTTCTGTGATTTAGCACTGACCGACACTCAATGTATTAAAATAAATTGCCCGTGATTTCTCGCAAGCTCCATGCTAATGCACTCCATCATATATCAGAGCAAAAGCAGCAGTGCATAACTATCTAGAGGCTTCAGTCAGTGGCAGATAACGTAATGAATTGTCTTCTCACCACACCAGGGAAAGGAAGTTAATCTGCATCTCCAGCCTTTCAGGGAATGTTCCAGGTTTGCAAAGCGTGAGTCAGCAGCACTGCTGCTCCATAGGCTTTTTTCCTACCACACTACCAGCACCACAGACTCTCCTGGCTTTCCCAGCTCTGTCAGGCCAGGCTCAGGTTTCCATCAGGGAACAGCAGCTTTTGAATAAACGGGGCAGGTGAATTAACTGCCTTTTATTCATCACGTTGAAAGCCACTGCAGACCTGTATAATCATGACATAATTTTATACAGCAAAGAGTTTCACAGGAAAAAAAGAGTTGATAAGTAAAGGAAAGGGAAATTAGTATTTTACTAAATGTATTCTTTTTGTTGTTCCTGCTACTATGCTAATACCCAAACCACCGTAGTTATCACAGCTAAGACAGAAACCACCTTTTTAAGTCTCATGAAGTTGGTGAATATAACCCTCCCGAAGAGTAAACTGGAATCTGACTTTGCACAGACCAAGAAAATAAGCAAGACGACAACATAAGCTTCCAAAATGAGTCTGGCAGCCTCCAGCCTTTCACACCAACTGAAAGGCTGCACCTAATCACTTCCTCCAATGGAAGCCATGTGAGTTGAGATGAGCTGATGATGATTTTCTTCCTCCACTGATTTCTGTGCTTTGATGGTTGTTTTCCTGACAGGTTACACAGGGTATCCTTCCTGAAATTACTAAACCAAACTTCTGCTATTGCAATCTACTATCCTAACTCTTAATATTTAAACATAGCCTGAGATCAAGAGTACATTTTCCTTCTAGAAATGGAGAACAAAGCTGAGGTGAGTCATCCCTTCCCTCAAATGGTGAAAGCACCAGCACAAGCTCACCACTCACTGCTGACTCTGACCTTCCAAAGCAGGCACTGCACCCAGTGCTGACCAGCAACCAGAGCAACTCCAGCACGCACTGTGTCCTGTCCAGAGGACAGCAAAGGGCCACAGAGAAACTGGGACGCTCTGGTGCAAAGGTAATGGAAGATGCGGCAGGAGCAGAGAAGAGCAAAAGATGTAAACTCATATGAAACAGACTTTCTTCATCAGGACCATGATCCATTAGAGTTGAGATCCACATCAGTGGATCTCAACTCTAACCCACATAAACAAGTTTTATGTGGATTACGTTCTCCCTAACTAATAATTTTTGAGTCAACAGGCCAACTTCAGCCTCTTTTGATGCAGAAGCAGAGATAGCAAAGTTCCTACAAGTCGCACAAAAATAGATGTCCAAGAAGCTCAGACAGACCCCGCAAGTGACTCCTAACTCAAAGGAAAGCTATGACCCTTATTTGCCACTGAAACCTTTGCCTAGGAGACAGCCTTTCTAATCAGTTTAATCTCCACTGAGAATTTATCATCAAGTACAATAAATTAACAGGAACGCCATTCCATTGCTCAAAAAAAAAAAAAAAAAAAAAAAAAAAAAAAAAAAAAAAAAAAAAAAAGCTTGCTCTAAGTAACCATAGGAAAAAAACACAACATCAGTACTAGTGGTCTAAACCCAGTCCTGGTGAGAGAAGTGAGGATGTTCAGATCCTGCCTAAAACAGCCATCCAGCAGAACTCCTCCTTACCTCCATTGCACGTGCTGAGAAAACAGCCATCTACCAAGCACGGTTAAAAGCCAGACGAGAGCCTTGGGATGCGAGCAGACTGCAGGGCCAGGCTGGCTCCTGATGCCACTCCCCACAAGAAGCCCTGGGGACGAGCTAAGAGCTAATGACATGCGCTGCTTCTGAATGCCTTTGGCGCATTTGGTCACCGTGTCACTAAAGGAGAGTGCCATACATCACGTCATTCTGGGCACCTGCCCCAAAGCCCACAGACTGACTGACAACCCTCATCGCCACTGCAAGCTCTGCCTTCCCTTAGCTTTCCCTATCAGCTAACGTTTTTCTTCTCATATTCCCAGCCACCTTACGCTGCACCTGTGGGCACAGGAATGTTAAACCTTGTTAATCCACGTTTTCTTAAAAAAATCAGTCCCTCTTAACTCTATTTCAAGAAAATAGTGTTGTCTGAAATTATTTCTATTTTTTGCCAGCATAGCATCTTTTTCTTCTTGGCAGCCAGAAGGATTAATTGGTAACGTGCATCTCAAAAGCTCAGATCAAGGGAAGAGGTTAAAATGACAGATAAACCAGAGGTGTAAGAAACATATGTGTACTGCTTGTTCAAAAATCAGAGAAAAATCCCCACACCAACCCTGCTTTACACACACATAGCTGACACCCTCCCTTTGTTTTCAGGAGACCGCAGAGATCTGATAAGATACTGTGCACAGAAGATAAGAAGCATTTCCATAGGAAACGAACCATTCAAACAAGAGGATCTCATTGCCAACAATTTTGATTCATTATGCAGTGGCACTGTAAAGACTGAGCAGTTCTACTTGTCAGCTAACAAACCACCGCTTCTATTTGTCAGAGATCCTTCATTTTCCCTTCCCCCGTGCTGCAGCAAAACCTTGGATTTTGACATCAAGCCCAGCAAGCAGCGTTAGTCCTTGAGACACAGTTTGCAAAACATTAATGAAATCAGAATGAGACTGCAGCTTGGCTTGCTGCCCCTGGCTAATGGAAGTGAAATTAAAAGTAGGGAGAAGAGAATGGACCAGCTCTTAGCTAAAAACAGATCGCTGAATGCTTTTTTTTCTTGAGAATTCAAGTGTTTTGTACGCTATTTACTTCAGGTTTTTCTATTTCAATGAGTCAAGTGATAATCGATACCAGGAGGAAATAGCATTAAAAGCAACTAAAGAAAACTAACAAGAAAAGCACTCCTTTGAAGAATTTTATTTAGCCAGGAAAGCCTATTAGGCAGGAATACTTCCGCCAAAGACAGAAAGAATACAAGAGCCAAGAGAACAGAAAGATGTATGGAAAAGGAAAGCGAGGAATGAAGTGGTATGTAAGATGACCAGGTGGGGAAATATCTTGAAGAATTCAGTAACGCTTTCCCCCTGAAGGAGCACTATCAGCCTCAGTAATTTACTGCAATAAAGTTGGTTATTCATAACATTTCAGGGATCCCTTGCTGCCAGCACTGGCCTGCATCCTTGCCATGCTGGAGTTCTGGCTCGGGGTTCTTGCTTGTTTGGGACTCCTGCTGGGCATTTCACGAGACCAGGCTTTCTCACCGAGTTAATATTATTCCCACTTTTAGCCAAGCTAGAAATGCAACCACCTTTCCTACAAACTGAAACACATGTATATTTTGCTTCCCGTCCTACAAACACACAAATTACCCTCAGGTCTAAATGCTGAGCTAAGATGCATGATGAGCTGTGATACCTGATAAGAACAATGCACGGTAACACCTCAAAGAGTTAAAGAAATCAAAGCCAAAAGGTATTAGGGGACGACAGAGCACAAACTTCTCTTGGGAACTAGCAACGGCACTGTCAGAAAAATCCCGGTCCATCTGCTTTATTTTGCCATATGTAAATGATTTCTGAAGGCTGGGAGCTCAAAAAGCCATCAGATAGAAGCTCTGCCAGTGCTGCTCCGCCCAGCCAGGCTGCTGAGACGCTGTACATAAAGCCCCAAACTGAGCAACACCAATTCCTTACAGCAGTGAATGGGTTAAAAGAAGTTTCCCTCCTCCGTGAAAGCGATACGGTGTGAAAACAGCACTATGCTTTCTGCTGCTGTGATAGATTGTACCTGCTCTGAGCAAGGCACTGAGTTTAACCCTGTTCTTGTGAGACTGCAAGCATTGCACGGATGCTGAAACCAATCTTAGACAGCCCCACGCCCAGTAGAAATGGAGATGGGTCTGTATCCCACCTAGAATGAAGCAAGGCAAGCGCTCAGCTCTCTGTCTCACCCTTCGGTAGCCGCAGCTGAAAGGGCTAGTTAAATAGCCAGAGCATATGCATACACATCAAAAATAACTTCAGAGTGCCTGCCTAAACAATTAAAAAAAAAATCTATACAAAGCTGCAACACAGCACAGTTCAGTGAAATCAAGAACTGATTTTTGTTTAAAACAAGACAGAAAAAAGAAAAGCCACAGAAAACAAAGAGCAATCCACTCCCTGATTCACATTCAATCACACATCCTCAAAACCCCATTCAAATACAGAGGTGCCCTACCTTTCCGATCTGTGAACAGGCAGATTCCGATCAGTGGATCACGTCAAAGACAAGATGATGGAGAATCTGTTAAAATAAACCAAAGGTAGGGGAAAAAGAAAGAAAACAGTTCATTTTTGATGAAAAACAGCTTCCAGCGATGAAACAAGTTCTTTTTTTCCATTATGCAAAAACCTGGATGCACACAGACATATCCGTACCAGTATCTGTGTATAAAGGCATGTGTGCTTAGAATAAAGATTACGTATGCACCGAGTAAATTTATCAGCAAAACTGCTGAAGTTTATTACCTACACATTTTAATTCATTCGGTGTGCAGCACTACAGAATTCAATCTACAGCAGGCTAAAGCAAAAAAGCTACAGCATGAAGGTATAACTTGCAAATCCTCACACAGCAAACAAAGCTGACATTTTAAAAAGAAAATCATTACCGGCTCATATGCTGCCATACCACAAAAGCCTATCCTTAAATAACTGCTGCATAATCATTCTCCTGGAGTGTTGTTATCCATCGGCTCGCTGCCTATCTCCAGACAGACGCAGTCTGCAAGCCACCAGCTTGTATCTACCATGGGTACGTCAGGAAAACTGCAAATTAGAAGTCGTCCCCGCAGTGGTGAAAAGGAAAAGAGGGTGAGTGGGAGAGGAAGAGGGAGTTCACTGGCCACAGAAATTTCCAGAATGATGACAAACCCACCAGCTCCGCCATCATCCACTTACAATAGGATGCTGCACCTCGTGGCTGCCTAAGCAGTTCGTCAAGGGCTTTCTGGTATCAACTGCCTGACAGGCATTTTAATTGCATGCAACCGAGTGCATCCCCAGGAATCGGGCCTTTAAGCCTATGCATATCATCAGCCGGTCCCTTTTGTGCCGCTGCCAAACGCACACAAGCGCACACGGCACACAGGCAGCAGCACACACGGTTTCCATTGCGATGCCGATCCAAATCCTAAACAGGTTTTGCAGCCAGTACAGTGAAAAGGAGGTCTGAAGGGATTTAGCATTTTCTACGTTATGGATTAGGGGCGAGATTCACTCACCCTTTTCCTTTCTTTATCCCATGCTGCTATTCACGTGTTGCAAGCAGCTCGTTTACACTGTCATCTGAGCCTTGCATTTGTCTATCCACATTAACAGGAAATAAAAACGGGCAGAACTCAGAAGTTCTGCAGAGAGGATCAGGGACCCTTCAGGACTAATAAATGACACAGGGCAGCAGCGACCGCTGCACAGTTGTGCTTGCACATGAGCTGCTGTGAGGTGTCCAGGCTTACTGCCCCAACCTCACCTGTGTGTTTCAAGGCCTCTTTCTGGTCATCCATCTGAGCATGACATGGGATTACTGAGCTGTGAAGCTGCCCTGTGTTTGTGGAGGAGATGTGGCACGGCTGGGGAGGGACAGGACAGAAGGAGCAGGAAATGAAGGAATTAAAAACAAAAGAGTTGAAAGATCAACTCATTTTCTTCTAATTTTGTAATTTTTTGTAATGAAACATCAGCACAAGCATACAGAGGCTTTTAGCAATGGAGCAGTCACGAGAATCCAGCAAGTCCAGCCCCACTGGAAAGGGCTGGAGATGAGTTCAGAGTTCCCTACAGTCAAAACACAAGCCAACCAGACCCACTCCCAATGTAAGCTCATGCTTCTCTGGCCTGTGCCAGCAGACCCCTTCAGAGAGAAGGATGCTCAAAGGAACAGAACATATTGCCCTGCCACAAAGCTTGATAGAGGTCCAACAAAGCCCATTTACCTTTGAGAGAGAGACTGGGCTTGCAGGAAGGAGCAGCAAATCTCATGTGGATTCTCAGCGTTTCTCTCTCTCCCCTCAGACTTTGTAGGCAGAGGGCTGCGAAGGGAACCGATTCTCTCCTGCCTTCCCTCACAACCACTAGAAGATGACTCTTCACACATCCATCAAACTTCACGTCAATGAGAAGTTCCACCCTCGTCTCTCTCTCTATGAACAGATCCCAGTGCCTCAAAAGCACCTGCCCTACCTGCTTTCCCCCCCCTCTAAAGCATCACAGCAGTGAGGAGGAGGAGGAAGCAGAGAAAGGCAGCCCTCATAGACAACCTGTAAGGGACAAGAATAAGGATGGAGCAGGCGGCAAAAAGGCCTTCAGAAGGAATGGAAAATCAAGCAAGAGCAGCACTAGCGCAATTCTTAGGCTTCTCCTCTACGAAAGCCTCCTGTGACTCACCGGAGGGGTGCCTGCTGCTGCCAAACCTCCCACTGCAGAGCTCATCCACTGCAGAATCTTCTCCTGCCCTCGTCTTGCTCAGCTCCCCCACCTCCCAGCTGGTGCTGGCTCCCTGCCCTGCTGCCAACCCTCCCACACCCCCATGGCCACCTCCTGCCTGTCGCTCTTCCCCCAGCATTCCCCCAAAGCAACCAGCAGCTCAGGGAGGTCCCCAAACCAGCATCTGGGCCGGGAGGGTCAAGGTATTACAAGAAGTCCTGAAAACCTCCAGAAGCTTCTCTGAGGTGTTCCTACTGACCTCTCAAGGTTCACAAGGGACTGATGTACGTTACCAAGCTATGCCCTTTACCCCAGAGCAGAGAGTATTCCTGCAGAGCTCAGTGAAGCTCTGTAGGATAGGGCACTCGGTTTCATTATCGTACTTAGATTTTGCTTGTAAGACCCAGCTGCATTCTGGGTCACACTGTGCAAGGTGCTGAGCAAAACAAGAGAGGGTTTCTATCACAACTTGTTATTTGAAAGATCCAAAATACAGAGAAGCATACTGGCAGCATTCTACTCGTTTTAAAAGGTGATGAAAAACGTGCAGTTAAGGGGCTTGGGCTTGCCCAAGCTCACATACAACCTCTGTAGCCAGTCTAAGGTGGAAGATCCTCCCAGGTCCTCAACCTCAGCTCTTAACTCCCAAACCCCTGCCAAAACCACGCAGCCTGCCTTTAACAAAGTACTGGGGGGTTGGTTGCTCCTTTTTTAGCAATAGGTTGGGTGAACATTTTATGCAATGCCTAAAATAGCATCTAATATGATCAGTGATGTAGATGAAGAGGAATAAGCCTGCTGAACAGAAATTGCACCACTCTGGTAAAAATAGTCCTGGAACAGGGAATTTTCTTTTTATGCTTTCTTGTTGTAGCACTTAGAATGGCACTGGGGATGGCTGCCTACTGGAGAGGCTGAGAGGAGACAGGCTTTTCTAGACTAAGTACTGTTGTTCTTCTGCAGTAGTAATAAACATTGGAGCATCTATTCTACCAGCCATTTGATGGAGAAACTTGCTTTTCTTCCCCTCCTCCCTTCCTCGAACAGGAAAAAAACAAAGAGAAGGACAGTAATTAATTCCAGAACAGCACATGCAGCATGCCACACCAGCTCCTTCACAGGAGTTCTATGGTGAGGAAGCTGGGGCTGGAGGCACGGTCTGCATCTCTATGGTTACTGGTACAGCAAGGAAGAAGGATGGGGAGGATATAGCAAAGGCTGAAGGAGCAGCTTTTGCAGCAGCAAGGGGCAAAGGATTTCAAAACAGGGTGAAAACTGTCTGGATGTGGGGTTGAGTTTAATCTCCTTGTTTTTTTCCCCTCCAAGGACTAAGTATGCAAAAGAAGCCCCATTGTGCAGTAAGCTCCTCCAGAGTCTCTTCAGTTGGGGTAATTTCTTCCCATTAGCCGTGCCCTCTGCCTTTGCACCACAACACATTCCATCACCTTCCTGGGACAACCTGGCCTTCCCCCCAGCCCAGAGACACGTCCTGGTGATGCTGCCCTCCCCAGCAGCCATGCAGAGGCCTGTTGTGCCTCATAGCGCAGCCAGCTGACACAACTGCAGCTCCTGTGTGGCATCACTACAGAAATGAGCCTCTGGAGCCCTGGCAACCTACGTCCACTCTTCCCCTTGCATCTCAGCTTATTTGTTTTTGAAATGTCAGACGGATATTTTCAGGCACAATCTCTCCTTTGTGAATCCAAACCGACTTCTCAACTAAATAACAGATTTGAAGAATACCTAGGAAGGGAGCCCTCATTTCCATTTCACTCCATGCCAGCACGTTGCTGAAATCACACTGAAGGGTGTGGGATATTCAAATCCTTCCAGGTCTGCTTTTTAGAAATGCCAATGCTGCAGAGAACCCTTTGAAGCGGTCATAAACACATTCCCAGGTTTTCTTAGAAAATCTGTGGTTTTCAGTTAAGTGATCAATGACAGCAAAAGAATAAGAAAGCAAGAGTCGTGACAGATGCTGGTTAGCTCCCAGATCTTGTATGTAGATGCAGCATAATTACTAATAACCGCTGCAGTATCAAGTTTTGTATAGCTGCCTCCTAATAAGGCAGCAACAGCCAGATGGAGGGAACAGCCCTGACTCAGTGCTTGTCTGGCCCGCTCAGGGGATGCCTGGTATCACTGGTGGCCCAGCAGAACTCCCTGGGCTCAAAGCCCAGACAAGAAGTGGAGGCAACTACTGTGGCCTCAGTGCTGCAGGACATGTGTTGGGTGTTCCTGACACCCCTGAGCACAGTGGGAGAAGGAGGCTTTGTCAGCTTCTCAGAAACCCCGTCCGAATGTAAACTAAGAGTCAAGGGTGTCAAAAAAGGGCAAAGGTAGACCGACAAGGTTAGAAACAATGCTGGCGGTGTTATAAGCTGGTCAACTGCTTTATGTCATTTCAGTTCTCCAAAACCCCCACTGCTACCTGGCTCTCCTCTCCACAACTTCCTCCCAGCTCTCTTCTGAGCGCTGCTCCACTCTCACTCCAGATGTCTCCTCTTCACTCCCATCACTGTTGCCCTCCTTTTCCCCATCCTTTCTGACACCTCCCTCGCAATCCCTGACTCTACAACAGGTGAAGGACACTGAAGTCAAAAGCCTGAACACCACGTGCTGCGTGACATCTGCAGAATACAGAGTTATTTATTCTGCTTGGCTGCACTATTCATCCTCCACAACCTCATCCTGTCTTTAGAGGCAGCTATGCTCTTCCCTCTCTGCCAGCAGAAGAAAGGAGTGCTTCACAGGACTGTAACGGACGATAGCGCTGATTCACTGATGCTGAAATCACTCTCCTAAGGCTGTGGGATCCCA